TTCGTTCCGTATCTTACCAGAGTTTTCTGTCTCCTTTGCATCATGTCGAGAATCTTGTTAGGCATTGATTAGTTTTTTATCTTCCTCAATTCTCCTTTGGGATGATGTCGTTTGGTGATGTCACTAAAGCGTCTCTTGTGCGTTTCATTTCTAGTTTCCATTGTGTCCCTTGTATTTTCTTTTCACATTGTTCCTATATTTTTCTTTCCGATACGGGTCGCTTAGGATTTTGTTGTATTGCAATTTGGGTGCTGCGTTTGGCTTCTTCAGTTTCCACAATTTCACTCTTAGTTTACATATAACAGGACGATAATCGCTTCCGCAGTCGGCAGTTGGTTAGGTTTTCCAGGGAACCATTACATCTCTGAATATTTTGTTGATAGTTATGTAGTCAATTTGTTTTTTAGTGTCCTCTCCTGCGCTCCTTCGTGTCCATAATCATCTCAGATATTCTTGGAACCATGTGTTGGCTATTACCTGGTCATTGGCTGGATCTATTTTTCTATAGTGTTCGTTGCGGGTTCCTAGTCCGAATTTTCCGGCTATATCCTTTGCCTTCTCCCTGACTACTTTGACATTTCGTTCTCCCATGATAATTATGACTTCTTGTGATTTTCAAAGAGCCTTGGCATTGTCAAGCAGGGCGTGCGTTAAATAACAGGAAATATTCGTTTATCTCCTGGGGCTTCGAGTGTTTTTAGTTTTGTTTTTAACACTCCAAAAAGGCCGACATGTCCATTAAAATGTGCGAAGATTGTAGGTAACAGAGAAGAAAGAAATAGGATGGGAGTTCCACAAGCGTGAAATGCCAGAAAAGAAACTACTAGATTTGAAGTGACAGTAGCATCGGGCTAGTTCAACAGTAAAATGGTCAGACCTAGTCGCCAATTTTGTAGCACGCTTAAATTCATGCAGTCGAGGCACTAAAGAAAAAAGCTGATCAGAATAAAAATGTGCCCTTCGACAGCATTCCAATCTTAGCAATATTAGTTTTTCAGCTAATTTCTTGTTAAGGACACTTCTGCAGGATGTTACAGGAATTATTTTAACAATTATCAACTCGGGAAAGAAGCTCAGCTAAGTGGAACGGACCTCCCAAGAATCAATTCAACTGACCCTGACATAGAAAGTCAGATGAGTAGACTCAGACCATGGGGGCTTGCTGAATGACTATTTTTAGACGAAGGCTTACAGGACAAATTATACTTATTACCAATAAGAAGAGTGGTCCCTAGCAGCCTAAATGAGGTGACCGCTCACCCGAAACGTGATAGAAAGGCACACACCGGTTAGACCGTTTCCCCCCTCAACTCACCCCAGTCGCCTATAGTCTGCCCTTATGAGAAGTTATAACTTAAAAATTTCCCTACTGCTCCAAATTTGCCTCATGATTTCTTTCTTGGGTAATGATCCGTTCACACAATTGTTGTACTTGTATTCAGCCACAAGCGTTCGACAAGACGAAGCTGCAACCTGACGGCTGTTCTGAGCTGCAACGCTGCACCACACGCTCACCGTTATGTAGGGGAAAGCTCCGTATAGACGTTATAGATAATTACATTGTTTAAAAACAGAGACGTATACTCACACACGTGTATCCATTAAATATTTCGTATATAATAAGAAATAATGTTGCACTACAAATAGAAATCCATTAATTACATTACTGATTTCGTTTTTTTTTTTTTAATATATATATAAATATATATTAATTATATATATTCTTTAATATATTTTGAACAATAAAAAATATTAAAAAATTAATATCTTCAGACACACTGGATTGTAGATTAATATTCTTTCGTTTTTTATTATTATTATTTCATTTAGATTCCTCGACGAGTTTCGGCCAAAATGGCCATCATAGGGAGGAGAAATATTTCTGCTTGCTGGTAGCAGTAAACTACAGAAATGAATTTCTTGCTGGAGAAAATGAACTTTCGTCTGTAGTTTTCATTTGTTTTTTTAATTTTTCTATCCTTTTAACATGAATCTTTTAACATTCCTTGTGTTGGTCAAACCGTATCTTTTAAGTTGTTATTTGAGATAAGAGCTGTATAGATCTATGCTTCTCTGAATTCCCGTGGTCATTTTGACAGTTTTATTGGTCCTGGCGAGGGGATGTGTCTCTGTTTAGTGTTTGTGTGTGTGTTATTTGGTTCTTAGGGAGTGAGTGAGTATGATGCATGTAAGTGTGTATATTCGTGTGAGTGTGTGTATAAGTGTGAGGCCTCCACACCTCCGTAAGCATGTCTGTCTTTTGTGGGTGATAAATGTGGGTGGGTTTTGATTTGTTGTGTTATATATTAGTACTATCTATATTGTTAAATTTATGGTTTAGGCCGACTGGATATTGTGTTTTTAGACGTTGTATCCACTTATTTTCATGGGACTCTAAAATCTTTCTAATGTTATCTGCTCTGAACTTTTCTATTCTCTCAATTATAGTGAATTTGGCATGGGTTCTGAAATCATGTTTTTCCAGGCGGAAATGTTGTTCTACAGGTAATAATTTTTCATGGGGAGTCGACTTGATTCGATTGCGATAATTATTAATTCTGTAGTGAAAGGGCCATTCAGATTTTTCTTACATATTGTTTCTGGCATAGTGTGCATTCTAGAAGGTAAATTATGTTATGACATCTACAGTTAGAATCGTGGTAGATTTTGAAAATAGATTTAGTGATTGAGCTAGTGAATGAATTCGTGTGTTTAATATGGTTGCAGCAGAAACTTCTTTTGTTGTTACATGGTTGGGAAAATCCTGTTGTTTTTGTTCTTAGTTTATTACGGATTACCTTGTCCCCTGAAATGTGGTTACTACCTATGATTTCTTTTAGGTTCTTAAGTCTACGATATGCAAGAAGGCCGGGTTCGTTAAACAATTTTTTTAGGTCTGGTTTGAGATGTAGTATTTCCCAGTGACGTTTGATTATTTGGGATAGTGGAGTCAGAGTGGGGTTGAAAGTGGTTACTAGAGGGATGCGGCTAGATTTATTTTTAATCTTGTACATTAGGGTGTCTTCTCTAGGTGTAGAAATTGCTTTTTTTATTTGTTCCCTGATTAGGTGTTGTTCATAGCCACGTGTTGTGAATTGATGCTCCAGATTTTCAATGTGTTTATTTAATTCTTCATTGTTGGAACATATCCTTCTGAGTCTAAGTGCTTGTGAATAGGGAAGGTTCTCTTTGAGGTGTTTTGGGTGGGAAGACTTAAAGTGTAGATAGTTGTGGGTGTCGGTGATTTTAGTGTGTAGTGTCGTTTGTAGTTTCCTGTTTTCATCTATGTAAATGCTGGTGTCTAAAAATGTTACTGATGTTGTGGATTTTTCATAGTCAAACTTAATTGAATCGTGCACTGTGTTTAGGGTCATAAGGAATTGGGTAAGTTTGTCATCACTACCCGTGTATACAAAGAATATATCATCGATATATCTTGCATAGAATACGCAGTCGCTACCAATGATTGGATAGATATGGGTCTCCTCAAATTTTCCCCATGAATATTGTAGCATATGATGGAGCTGCAATGGTGCCCATGACACAACCTCTTATTTGAAGGTAGTGGGCTCCATTGAAGTTAAAAGTATTCAATGTAAGGACATACTCCATGAGTTTTATGATGACATCTGGGGTGGGGTCTTGTTTTCTTCTTTTTAGTGTTTCCTGAAGGGCGGTTAGCCCTTCGATATGTTTAATGTTTGAATAGAGTGACCTACCGTCATATATATATATATATATATATATATATATATATATATATATATATATATATATATATATATATATATTGTCATCCACAGGCAGACTGTTTCGCTGTAACACTGCACTACAGTGCACCTAGACGTCCGATTACTTTCAAAACCTGGTTGATTTGGTATCAAGCAACGATTCTACCTGGCAGAGAGCAAAGGGAAATTTTAACGTTTTCTATGCGAAATAAGTCAGTGGCCCGGAGAACTCAATTCAGTTCGGTTGAAGTGCAATGTATTAATAGCGGTATGAGCCACTGATTTTTTTTATTAAAAAAAAATCACACTTTTCTCAAGAGAGCTCTACTAGATTTCCCGAGAGCATATATTGCCACACACAGACATACTGTTTTGCTCTATCACAAGCCATTAGAAGGTACGTTTTCTATGCGAAATACGTCAGTGGTCTGGAGAGTTCAATTCAGTTAAAGAGCAATGTGCGAATAGCAGTGAGACAACCGTTTTAAAAATTACCCTTTCCTGAAGAGAGCTCAACCGGATTTCCCGGGAGCATCTATAGTCATCCATATACAAGCCCGTTTCGCTGCATCACAGCTCATCAGTGTGACAAGACATCCGATTGCTTCAAGCCGGGATCGAAACTCGACCGATTTGGTATAAGTCCGAGATTCTACCTCTAAGCTCTCGGCGCACGGCAGAGAAATGGAAATACGACTGAGCTGATGGAGAAAGCAATAAATGATCCGGTTTGTACATGGAATCTGAAATCATTTTTGATGGCAAACTTGGTCCATGATATATTGCGTGAAATAACAAAGCAGAAGCAACAAAACGTAACAAGTGAGTATTTAATAATATAAAGTAAAATGTAAACTAGGCCTCTTCCCCCCGCAAAAAAAAAAAAAAAAAAAACATTAAAGAAACCCCCTGACAATTGGGCAATACCGATAAAATACTACCACCACAAACCCACATAGTGAACAGTAGGAAAAGATGATTATTTCGGCATTGAAGATTTGAGGCCGATACGTTTTGAAAAGCGCGTTACAAATTTTCACTTCGCCAAATTTCAGTTGGCACCGACGTTTTGGAGAGGTGCTTAATATCTATCTGCCGCCCACTTTGATCTTTCTTGGCAGGCGTCATTGTAAGATTGTTTGCGTCGGCTATGTGTCAGAGGTTTTTCTTTGAGAGCCAGCATTTAATAGTTGGAGATAATAGCTATTTGTTAAGTTACGCGTGCATTTATTTTGGCGTTTAAGAAAAATATCGATTTACTCTTCATAGACTGTCCATATCTATCTATCTATCTATCTATCTATCTATCTATCTCTGTCTTTAAACCAGTTAATTTTCCAATTTATTTATTGCAATACTTCTGCAATAATCTACCTTCTACCTATTTATCTAAATATGTCTATCTTTCAACCAGTTAATTTTCCAATTTATTTATTGCGATACATCTGCAATAATCTATCTATCTATCTATCTATCTATCTATCTATCTATCTATCTATCTATCTATCTGAGTCTGTCTATATTTCTCAGATAAGATATTATGTACATTATTTACATTATTCGGACTATTGTCCTCATCTTTGTCGCCATATTTATCACAAAGTTTCGGCCGTTGTACGCGCCGAAGCCTTCTTCAGGTGGTTGGATTTCGAACTGAACCCTTTATTTTGCTCACTGGGTGAACTGTTCTACTTCCCGTGTCATGTTTGATGGATGTCAGTTATCAATTATCTCCTGCTAATTTCCCTCTGAAAGTTCACTGCCTTAACCGCGTATTGAACTCACACTCTTGAGGATACATGGCACAGTGGATAAAGGCGTTGGTTAAATCCAGTGACAGGACCCAAAGAGTATGAGTTCAATACCCGGTTAAGGCAGTGGAGAGCTGGGGAAATTAGCAGGCGATGACTGATAACTGACATCCATCAAACATGGCACCTAGAAACAGTCTACCCCAGTGAGCGAAATAAAGGGTTCAGTTCGAAATTCCAACCACCTGAAGAAGGCCGGAGCGTACAACGGCCGAAACGTTGTGATAAATATGGCGACAAAGATGAGGACAATAGTCCGAATAATGTAAATAATGTTTCTATATATCTGAATCTGTCTCTGTCTTTCAACCAGTTAATTTTCTAATTTATTTATTTCAATACTTCTGACATAATCTATCTATCTATCTATCTATCGTTCAGTGTTCAAGTCTATCTCTATATCAAAGTAATATTTATTGTTCAATTCCTTCCAACGTACTCTGAAGATAATTGGTTACTGAAGAAGCTTATTGAGAGTATGTAACGGTTTACCAGAAAATTGAAGAATGTTGAGGTCGGGGAATAATCATCATCGGAGTGACATAAATATCCGAAAAGAACAGTGAAATCAAATGACAATGAAAGACTCCCTAAAAAAATGAATGGGAAATCAGGGTCCTCACTTTTGGGACGTATGCCACATAAGAACGCTTCCTTGCTACAAGCAACGAATCTATTGGCATGGGATTTAGTAATTTTAATTTTTCTTAGTAGGCTATGTCTGTTCATATCTATCTATCTATCTATCTATCTATGTCTGTTCATGTCTGTTCATATCTATCTATCTATGTCTGTTCATATCTATCAATCTATCTATCTATCTATCTATGCCTGTTCATATCTATCTATCTATCTATCTATCTATCTATCTATCTATGTCTGTTCATTTCTTTTCATATCTATCTATCTATCTATCTGTGACACTATTTAGCTATGGTAATTGGCTAACTAATTAACCATAGAAATTAAAACAAGAAATACTGAGGGCGGAAAGAAGTTAGACCGAAAGATATACCGTTCGATGTTAAAAAGATTGTATTTTATTTACGAAAAAGTTACTTTTTAAAAAAGACAGTAAACCCGAAGAAAAAGCCATATGTCAGATTTTGTCAAATTGATTAATATTGTTGTAAACAAATGCCTTGCCGAGAGAAATATGAGAAGTCGGAAAGAAAAGCAAAGCATGAAGGTATCGGGCAGACCAGATGGCGGTCATAAAAATTTTGGCCTGACACGATTGCCGATACGGGGTAGGGAGAATCAATGTTAATTATCTTTCCAAGATAACATTTACTTTTTCTTCAGTGCCGGGAAGGCAAAAGCCATATGGTATTTGTGGGTATTTTGGCATGAGAGAAAAATATATCCAGATACGGGTGGAAAGGATTGTTATTATTTACTTTACGAAAGTGTCGCTTTCAGACGACGAGACGTTGAGTAGAAGTATGGTGATTATAAAATTTTGGTCATGAGAAAAGATAGCGTGGAAGAATTGTGATTTGGTGAGATAAGGAATTTCTTAAGAAGCCAAGGGTTCCAGCAAAAGCTAACTTCATGAAGGGACCAGATGGCCAACTTGACAGTGATAGATGGAATTGGTAAAGGGTGCTCTTTAAGTGGATTCTGAAGTGACAAAAGATATGATAGATTTTAAGTGACAACGTGGAATTCTTAAAAATTTTGGCCGTTGGGAAAAAGGAGAATATTGTAAACAAAAAGTCTGGCTTATAATTTTAACGATGCCAGCTTAGCCACACCCGCACGGCAGGGATGATATTGGTCGAGTGGTAGCAATGGTGATAAGCGCAGGTGAATGGATGGGAAGGACGGAGAAGGTATTAACGCCCACTGAAGGGATTGGTATGAGATATCAATGTGAGAGAGGAAGAGTTTAGGAGGATAGATCTATTCCGCCCTCCCCTCACGGACGAGGGAGACCTCCCCCAAAATGGATATTGGTTAATTTTCCAAAACTGGGAAGTAATCAATTTTCCTGGCCGGACAACAAATAGATTTCTTGTTGGGTATCGAGATTTACCGAGAACCCCAGGCCGCGTCTGGCCCCGCACCGGGTTTTGGCGTGTAACCATATAAACGAACGTCTTCGAGCCGTTAGATAGTCAGTTACAGTTAGTTCGGATAGCGAGAACCAGAGTGTTGCCACGCAGAAGCTGACCGAGAGATTCCACAACCTCGAACTTCGCCTATCCTATCAATAGCAAGTTATGCTGACGAACGAAGCCAAGCCAGCATCTAACAACTAAACCAATTGACTTAAGATAACAAAACTTGCTTAAGAAACGTAGCAGTGTCACAATCCGTAGAAAACGGGCTGGGAGGAAAATACACTCCTGTATATAACAGACGGATAAAGTTAATTTGTTATTTCTTAACATACATGAACCTCTTGTTTTTTTTCTTTATTTGCTTTTTTTTTTTGTTTAGGCTTTTGCGGTATCACCTTCAGTCTGGACTCAGCTTACACTACGGCCCCACGCCTGATTGATCTCGTCTACCTAAGATCAAAATCACAACGTGGGTAAGTTAGACTGGAGATCGAAGCAGTGACTTCGGTGACCAGACGTCGGAAGTGAGCTGGGAAAGACGGAGCTGGTATCGAACCGGGTACGACCATAGATCGGCCGGGACACAGGCTGGTGGTAGCGACTAAGAGTCGACCCCAAAACGCCGGTGGAAGAAATATTACAGCTTCGCGCCACGACTGGGAGTTGACAACAGGCCGACAGCGCAGTGTCACATATCTATCTTTCTCTCTATCAAGATTACTCTCTCTATACCTAAATTTATATATATCAATCTGCCAGTTCATTCGTTTTTTTTTCATCCCAGTTAAATTTCATCACCCATGGATACCTGGCCGTGTCGTTAGAACGTTGGTTTTTGACCATGATAGCTGGGTTCGAATGACACCGAAACACCAATGTCGAATTTGTTAGGAATGTGAATTCTTAGGAGCGATCCCTTCTGCCTGAAAACAATTACCTAGTTTGACGCAAGACTTATGAATAAAGTTGGGTAGCACGAAGTCGCAGGTCATCGTGACTGAGGGTTACAGTGTTCAAACTGTTGCTCACGCCACATAATACGCTCTCTTCCAGAAACTGTTACTACGGTCCGCTCAGCATAGTTGCACTATAAATCCCAAGTTGATGTTCAACAAATGTGCCTGAAAAGTAGTCTGCAATAAGAATTCGCTAGCTGCCCTAGCAGACAGGCATACGTAGATACGAGTCGTTGCTGTTTCGATACATTGTTCTGGCAAAGAGGTATACTGAAAAAAAGAGTATAACATTTTAGGGATAATCCTCGTTGAAGTTCAAAATTAAATAGATACATTTAATCTGATCCTGGAGATCTGTTTTCTCAACTATGAAATATATTTGAATATTATATTACTCGAAATAACGCATTGCGCACAGAATACTATACAACATATATAAAACAATTTTATATAATTTAAATTATTCGTTGCACAGAGGCATCAATAGGCAATCGAATTATCTTTGTCTTAGCAAAGAAGTAACTCACTTTAATTGGTTTGCACAAATTTGCTTAAAAAATGTTTGTCTAATTTTTTTTTAAATGCCGTGTCCCTCACAGGACTTAGGCGATAATGTTTAACAGCATATATGAAGATCGTTCTGGGTATGACGATGAACTACATCTGGCTGCAAGGCTTCTGATCTGTACGTTTTGAGGAACATGGAACCACCTCACAATTGCTGGTATTCCCAGGTCCACGCGGTCCCGGGGTGTTAGCACCTGTTAGAATCCCAACTGTGGATAAAAATTTAAAAAATGATATAAAAATACTTAAAAAAAAACATATACTTTTGAAAAAAATTACTAGCAATACGTTATATATATATATATATATATATATATATATATATATATATATAGTGAATATTGAAGCTAACACTCAGAGTCGACATGCTGTTTTATGCTGGACGCAATCGTCAGTCCGTAAATGCTGGACATTTCCTCGGCTATATATATATATATATATATATGGGTCAGTGATGCATTGTGGGAAATCTTTTCTGGCGGTCATTTTTGCGGGATTGTTTTGTTTATTTATTTAGTTGTTCTGGTTAATTTATTTTACTTGTTTTTCATTTTCATTTTGTATTATTTATTCTTTTCGTTTTTTGACGTTTTATTAACATAGTAAAAAGATTGGTAGGAATTTGCTTAGGCCGCTTATTTAATAGTTTTTTTGGTCTGGGAAGGTAATTAAAATTATTTATTCGGCCACTGTTTAGATTGCTTGCCGTAGTCTATTCTGTGATATTGGCGGGTGGGCAGTTTTTAATCAATTTATTTGGATTGATTATTTTTACTTGGTTTTGTTTATTTATGCTTATTTTTATTAGTTCTTACGATTATTTTAGCGGGTCCGATTTGTTAATTTGTTCATTTATTTATATGCTGCTAAACAAACAAATAACCTTGCAGTTAAGCAATTTGTGTTTGTCTTGAGATTTTCATGTTTCTTAATACTCTGCTTATATTTTGGAAGGCTATTCTAATGCATCCTCGGTTTTCGGGGTCAGAAGAAAATATATATTTACCAAAAGATTATGTTAATGATGAAAGTGTAAATATGTAACTGACAACTATTTGGTTTGAAAGCAAATATTTGTTTGATTTGACGTTACTAAATTCACCCTGTGAACAGTTTACACATCATAAAGTTTAGGATATGGAGAATCAAGAAGTATTTCCATCTTCCGGGTATATATTGCAATCTGACCAATTTTTATTGACAACCTAATGACAGATAAGACGGATATCTCTTTGAAAGATCCATCGTCCATTAAACATTAAGCCCTGAAAAAAAGATAGAATTCAATGGACAGTAATCGAAAGATTCCGGACATTACTAAGTTTGGAAGAAAGAAACGATTCGGTGTTTGTTGATCAGGAATATATTGCACTAGTTCGGATCGTTCATGCACAAGAAATGGTTTATTCGTCTTTGTGGAAGACGTTCTTCAATCGACATCAAATTCAACTATATTTTTCGAGCAAGCAATAGATTTGCTCTTCACTGAGATGATTTGCCTGCTATTCGATTTCTGGTATCAGGGATAGAGGAAGGATAATGGAAGCCTGTATTGAAAAGAGAAAGAAATAAAAAAAAAAATAGATAGAAAGAAGGAAACAAAAAAGAAGGAGATAGATAAAGAAAAGAAATAACAAAGAATGAATGTATGAAAGAAAGAAAGAAAGAAACAAAGAAGGAAATAAAATTGAACGAAGCTATAATAGAAAGAAAAATGAATGAATAAAAGAAAGGAAAGAAAATGAAAAAGAGAGCAAAAGAAAGAAAGAAAGAAAGAGAGCGAAAGAATAAGAAAGAAAGAAAGAAAGAAAGAAAGAAAGAAAGAAAGAAGAAAGAAAAATACGGAGAGAAATTAAACCGAGCAAGAATGTACCATGGTTTGTGAAGAGGGGTTCATCATTGTCAGTTCTCATAGAACATATTTTTATTTAAACAAATTGTATTGTGCGATTACTTACGCTGATACCTATCGTATCCAAACTTTTGGATTTATATTAACATCGCAACACTTTTTTTCGTGCAGTTTTTGATGACAATTTGTGCTTTCTTCCACGCCCAACGAAATTCTCTGTCGTGCCAAACTGTTTAACCTTCTTTATAACGGACTGTACCGTAGATCTAGGGATAGCTAACCGGTTTGAAATAGTGCTGTAATTTGTGGAAGTTAATAATTCTCTCTCTTAAGTCAACGCTAAGCTCCTTTGTCTTCCCCATCGTGTTGTTAACGTAAGAATAAAAATAGCGACACTCTTTGCACCACGTGATATTCTTTACTGGAATTATCACAGATATTCTACTAAATAAATAGTCTATATGACTTCACCGATAAAATAATTATGTAAATTACTTATACTTAAACGAATCAATCAATTTAAAACGATATTTTCTACTATACGAAACATTTGTACATTGTATAAGTGTCCTGTCAAATTTGTTGTATTTAACCTATTATATTTTGTTTTATTTTTCACAGAGACGGTCACTATCAAAATATAATGCTGCTGATATCATAGAAAACAGTTTGGTATGTACATGCTTGTATGACAGATTTTAATATACATCCATCGTACGATTGAAGTCGCGTAAAACGACATTACATTGCTTAAATTCAATTATTTTCAGATATAGTGTATCCGTGAAGGAAAAAAGGAATAAAAATACACGCGGTAAACATTTCTTAGACGACGCATTTCACCTCTGAATGAATTTACCATGGCAAATGCAAGGATTTGTTTCGTTCCACTTGTTTATATACAAGAGCAACGATGTCGTTTATTAATCAAGGTTTTTACATTTAAGTGAACGTGCATTAATATTCTTTATGTGGTTGAAAGGTCAGTCAGAAAATATGGAGGACGCAGAGTGGCATAATTCAAAGTCTGGTAAGAAAAAAAATTGACCGAGTAAAGAGGAAAAATTATTTGATATTAATCCCTTACTTTTGTCTTATCAGACTTTGAATTATGGCACTATGTGTCCACCATATGTTCTGACTGACCTTTCCGTCACCTTATGAATATTCATGAACGTTCACAAATTTAAAAGCCTTGATAACCCAATGACATCCTTGCAACGAAATAAATCCATACACTTGATAAAGTCCCCCAGAGAACGGGACGCGGCGGCTAAGAATAGCTTTTTCTCTGGTCTTTTTATTCATATATATATATATATATATATATATATATATATATATATGTATGTATGTATGTATGTGTGTGTGTGTGTGTGTGTGTGTGTATGTTTGTGTTTGCACGTATATATATATATATATATATATATATATATATATATATCGTTTCATCAGCTAATGCTTCGATTGTACACAAATCTATTGGTCTGTGATAATTCAAAACTGAGTAGAGATAACAACATTGCAAAGATATTGATGGCGAAAAAAAAGGCTGGAATAAACGAAGAATAAATAGAAGCGAAAAACTTATAAAATAAAGGACACTTTACTTGTGAAGCCATTACTTGTAGCAGGAAGGCGTTATCGTTATCAACAAGATGGCAGCGATTATACCCGCTGCGTCCTAATGGGAGACTCGTCATTTGCTGGGACATTTATGGTTTTACACATAGGATAAATATATAGAGTTTGTACCTAGACTTTGCTGTACGTCGTTCAAGCATCGAAATTACTTTTGATTTTGACAGAAACTATATCGAAAGGCAGGAAGTGAAAAAGAATGAAAAGGATCAAAGTCGAATGAAAAGAAGAAGCGATGAAAAAATATCACGCAGAATAATGTGACGATGAACGCTATCAAATCCAAGAAAGAAAGAGACAAACAGACAAAAAAAAAGAAAGAACGAAATATGGCAGAAGCAAATAGAAAGGAGGAAATAAAAAAAATGATAGAGGAACAGAAACTTCTTTGAAGAAGCAAATAGGGAAAAAGAATAAATAAATGATAAGAAAGAAAGAAAGAAAGAAAGAAAAGAAAGCAGAATAATGTGACGCAGACGACATGTAATACAAGAAAGAAAGAAACAAGCAAAAAAGTAAGAAAGAAAAAATATGGAAAAATAGAGAGAAAGGTGCAAATGTAAAAATGAATGGAGAACAGATAAAACTGTGAAAATATAAATATGGAAAAAGAATAATTAAAAAAAAGAATGAAAGAAAATAAGAAAGTATAATGGTAAGATAAGAGAGAAGGGTCAAATATGGAAAAGAAAGGGTAACAGATACATTTGTAAAAAGATATAGAGAAAATGATCGAAAATAAAATAAAGAAACAATGACAGGAAGAAAGATAGAAGGCGGAATAAGAGAGGAATGGAGAAATAAAGAAAGAACAAATGTGAACATATAACTCTCATTAAAAGAAAAAAGGGAAAATAATCGTTAAATGAAAAGAAAAAGAAAGAAAAGGGAAGAAAGAATAACACTTTATAGGATTGAAAGGGGGTAATAAAAGACATGTAAGGTGAATAGATAAATCTGAGAAAGAATTGGAAAATAATCGTTAAATCAAAAGAAGTAACGAAAGAAAGCAACAAAGAAAACAAGCAAGCAAGCAAGCAAGAAAGAAAGAAAGAAAGAAAGTGGAAGCAGAATTAGAGGAAAAAGGGAAGATAATATAACGAAATGGCAAACTGACGAATTTAAGGAGTAAGAAATAGAGGTGAAGAAAGAAAGAATGAACGAAAGAAATGAGAATAAAATGATAAGTTGAGAGTAAGAACTTTAGAGCACCAAACAAAATGGCGTAAACGAAATCGAGAAATGTTAGATGAAAAGAAAGAATACTTGAATGAAAAGAGAATATTAAAAAGGGAAAGTTATAAAAAGAATGTAGATGAGAAGAGACATATGAAAAGAAAGAAATGAAGAAGCGAAGATATAAATGATGGAAAAAATAAAAAGTAGAAAAATGAAGGGAAAATGAAAAAAATAGCGTCAGAGAAAAGGCAAGGCTAGACATGAAAATATGAATGTGATCAGAACCAATTAAAAACAAGAAAAAGACAAGGGAAGAGAATGATGAAAAGAAAGAAAGAAAGAAAGAAAGAAAGAAGCGCTACGAATAGGAAAGCTCAACGAATAAGAAAGAAAGAAAGAAAGAAAGAAAGAAAGAAAGAAAGAAAGAAAGAAAGGAAGGAAGAAAGTAAGAAGCGCTATGAATAGGAAAGAGCAACGAATAAGAAAAAAGAACACCGGAAATAAATAAATAAATAAATAAAGAAAGAAAGAAAGAAAAAAAGAAAGAAAAAAAGAAGCGCCATGAATAGGAAAACGCAAGGAATAAGAAAGAAAAAACACCGAAAAAAAAGAAAGAAAGAAAAAAAGAAAGAAAGAAATAAGCGCTATGAATAGGAAAACGCAATGAATAAGAAAGAAAGAACACCGAAAAGAAAGAAAGAAAGAAAGAAAGAAGCGTTACGAATAGGAAAGCGCAACGAATAAGAAAGAAAGAAAACAAGAAAGAAAGATAGAAAGAAAGTAAGAGAGAAAGAAGCGTTACAAATAGTAGAGCTCAACGAATAAGAAAGAAAGAAAGAAAGAAAGAAAGAAAGAAAGAAAGAAAAAGTGAAAGAAAGAATTAAAGAAAGAAAGAATGAAAGAAGCGATATGAATAGTAGAACTCAACAAATAAGAAAGAAAGAAAACCAGAAAGAAAGAAAGACAGAAAGAAAAAGAAAAGAAAGAAAGAAAAAATAAAAGAAGCGCTACGGATAGGAAAACTCAACGAATAAGAAAGAAAGAAAGAAAGAAAGAAAGAAAGAAAGAAAGAAAGAAAGAAAAAGAAAGAATCGGTACGAATAGGAAAGAGCAAGGAATAATAAAGAAAGAACATCGGCAAGAAAGAAAGAAAGAAAGAAAAAAAAGAAAGAAAGAAGTGCTACGAATAGGAAAGCTCAACGAATAAGAAAGAAAGAACACTGGAAAGAAAGAAAGAAAGAAAGAATGAAAGAAAGAAAGAAAGAAAAAAAGAAAAAGAAGAAAGAAAGAAAGAAATAAAGAAGCGTTACGAATAGGAAAGCTCAACGAATAAGAAAGAAAGAAAACAAGAAAGAAAGATAGAAAGAAAGAGAGAAAGAAGCGTTACAAATAGGAGAGCTCAACGAATAAGAAAGAAAGAAAACAAGAAAGAAAGATAGAAAGAAAGAGAGAAAGAAGCGTTACAAATAGGAGAGCTCAACGAATAAGAAAGAAAGAAAGAAAGAAAATAAAGAAAAAGTGAAAGAAAAAATTAAAGAAAGAAAGAATGAAAGAACTCAACAAATAAGAAAGAAAGAAAACCAGAAAGAAAGAAAGACAGAAAGAAAAAAAAAGAAAGAAAGAAAGAAAGAAAGAAAGAAGCGCTACGTATAGGAAAACTCAACGAATAAGAAAGAAAGAAAAAAAGACAGAAAGAAAGAAAGAAAGAAAGAAAGAAAGAAAGAAAGAAAGAAGCGGTACAAATAGGAAAACGCAACGAATAATAAAGAAATAACACCGGAAAGAAAGAAAGAAAGAAAGAAAGAAAGAAAGAAAGAAAGAAAGAAAGAAAAAGAAAGAATCGGTACGAATAGGAAAGAGCAACAAATAATAAAGAAAGAACATCGGAAAGAAAGAAAGAAAGAAAGAAAAGAAAGAAAGGAAAAAGTAAAAAAGAAAGAAAGAAGAAATAGGAAAAGCTCAACGAATAAGAAAGAAAGAAAACAAGAAAGAAAGATAGAAAGAACGAGAAAAAGAAGCGTTACAAATAGAGAGCTCAACGAATAAGAAAGAAAGAAAGAAAGAAAATACAGAAAAAAGAAAGAAAGAATTAAAAAAGAAAGAATGAAAGAACTCAACAAATAAGAAAGAAAGAAAACCGAAAGACAGAAAGAAATAAAAAGAAAGAAAGAAAGAAAAGAAAGAAGCGCTACGTATAGGAAAACTCAACGAATAAGAAAAAAGAAAAAAAAGACAAAAGAAAGAAAGAAAGAAAAGAAAGAAAGAAAGAAAAGAAGGGTACAAATAGGAAAAACGCAACGAATAATAAAGAAATAACACCGGAAAGAAAGAAAGAAAGAAAAAAGAAAGAAAGAAAGAAAGAAAGAAAGAAAAGAAAGAATCGGTACGAATAGGAAAGAGCAACGAATAATAAAGAAATACCACCGGAAAGAAAGAAAGAAAGAAAAAAAGAAAGAAAGAAGGAAGGAAGCGCTAGGAATAGGAAAACGCAACGAATAAGAAAGAAAGAACACCGGAAAGAAAGAAAGAAAGAAAGAAAGAAAGAAAGAAAGAAAAGAAAGAAAGGAAAAAGAAAAAAGAAAGAAAGAAGCGCTACGAATAGGAAAGCTCAACGAATAAGAAAGAAAGAACACCGGAAAGAAAGAAAGAAAGAAAGAAAGAAAGAAAGAAAGAAAGAAAGAAAGAAAGAAAGAAACGCTACGAATAGGAGAGCTCAACGAATAAGAAAGAAAGAAAGAAAGAAAGAAAGAAAGAAAGAAGCGCTACGTATAGGAAAACTAAACGAATAAGAAAGAAAGAAAGAAAGAAAGAAAGAAAGAAAGAAAGAAAGAATACCGGAAAGAAACAAAATAAAGAAACAAGAATAAGATGAAAAGTTTTAAACAAATATTTTTGAGTATCAGACAAAATGGCGCAAATGAAATAGAGAACTAACAAGAAAGAAAGGTAACGACGAAAGAAAAGGACAGTAAAGAAAAGGCAAGAAAAGAAACAAACAAAATATGAAAGAAAGCAAGAAAATTAAAACACATGACAACACAAAGAAAACAACAAAACATTAAAACCTGAAGCGTGTAATGTGAAAGATATACTAAATAAATAACATGCAAACGAAATACTGTAAAATATTAAATCTATGAAAGACCATAAATGTAACAAAATTAAAATCAAGAGCCAATGACATGTGCTTAAGAAGGAAGAAAAAAAACGAGCGAGGAATGGAACAACTTTTAGAAACTTCGGGTTTCTGTATATTTTTCTAGGTACGTATGCGATGCAGTGGCATTAGTTGGAGGACATATGTTACAAAGAAAAAGAGAAATGTGAATAAGGAAACGAACAAAAGAATTAAGGCTAACCTAAATTTACAAAATCGATGCTGGAAAGAAGAATAAATAAAATCTTGCGACGGCTAAGATGGCGCATATAAGAAAAAAGTAAAAGAAATTATTGATTCAAGTAGCGGAGAACTTATATACATATATATATAAAAAAGACTGGAAGAGAGAAAACGCCGGTCATTCGAAAATAAAATAAATAAAAAGATAAAGTCCTCGCTGTACTGTATTAGTTTTACTGTTACTTGCACCCATAACAATGGTCATGCTTTCCCTCCCGAGGCTAATGTATTGATGATGAAGGCGGCTATTCTGATGACATCGATATTCATAGCTAGGATAAGAATGATCTTGAACAGAAAATCCCTGTAAAATGTTCCACAAAATAGGACTCAAGACAAACCTTTCCAAAACAGAAACTATTATTTGCAATGGGAATGAAAACAGTGATGCCACATATAGAACATAAGCAAATTGAACACGGAATAAACTGCACCAGAGATAGTTTTGCACAGCACCGCTAATTGCTACAAAATAAATAAACAGTAATATAAAACCTCGGGCAATATTCTTGAATAGCCTCATCGAATCAAGAGATTTATACTAAACTGTGAGTTGTATACAGCAGCTTTCTAAGATCAATGGTTAAAAAAAGGCTTTCAGCGAGTAAAGTTTTTCCAAAGATCACCCTACTTTCAACTTTCTGGACAGGCGCTATATAACCACTAATAAAAAACAGTAAAAAAAAAACAGAGACTACATCACTTGAGGTCTACCAACAGCAGCAGCAACAACTAAAATGGAACTAAAAGAAAAAAAAATAATGTCATAATCATGATATTGACTTTTCCCACTGTTTGGAATAAAAGACTTGGAAGGAAGCGAGCATCAATACTGAAAAGGGCGATAACAGCTACTGGATTTTGGAAAAGCTATTTTCCTTAAAAATTGTTTTAAGAGAAAGATTTTATAAATGTCAACAGAAAGCAGTACTGCCTGCTCGTTCAGTGAATGCTAAATGTTTCCTTATAAGGCAATAGTTAATATTACAACCGTAGCGAATTCAGTTCCGCTCAGTTATCATTCTAGAAGATGTCTTAATGTAAGTACTTCCTCTAATTCGCAGAAGAAAAAAACCAACAAAAAACAGTATAGCATGATGAAAAAAAAGGCCCCAAACTTGATAAAAACAAAGATTTATCGTCAAAATGTTCGTTATTATTAAGAGGAAACACTAAAGTATTTTTATTGATTTTAATCGTTTCTCTCACGTTCTAAATTTTGGTAAAAAATCTTTGTTTTTTTGTG